GTTAAACGTCTTGGTAGAGAGGAATGTTGTGCAAATAAAGTTCAATAGAGTAGGTGTCAGGTGAGCCTCAAAGGGGAGGGCATTCCAAAGCTGAAGGGCCTCCACTGGGGAAAAACTGTCTGTGGTTGCCACCCGCCTCATTTCTGCAGGGAGGAGCACAGAGAGCAGAGCTTGGAAAGAGGGTCTTAACTAGCAGATGGGATGGCAGGGACCAGAACCAGCACTTTTGAGTTGTCTGTTGTAGAGATATTTTAGTGCAGGGATGACATGATCCCTGTATCCAGCCCCTGGTGACATTTTGAACCATATGAAGTTTCCAAACAGCCTTCAAAGGCAGCCGCACCTAAAGTGCTTTGCAGTAATCTAACCTGGATGTGATCAGAGCACAGATCACTGTGTCCAAGTCACACTTTTTGATGAGAGGCTGTTAGCTGATATATCAGCTAAAGCTGCTAAAAGGTGCTAATGTGCCACAGAAGGGACCTGAGCCTCCAGCTATAAGCCATGATACAGCAGCACCCCAATCTATGAACCTGCTCCTTCAAGGAAGAAGAAGAGATTGGATTTATACCCCGCCCTTCACTACCTGAAGGTGTCTCAGAGTGGCTTACAAACTCCTTTCCCTTCCCCTTCCCACAACAGACACCCTGTGAGGTAGGTGGGGCTGAGAGAGCTCTTGACAGAAACTGCTCTTTTTCAAGAACAGTTCTTATCAGAACTACAGCTTGCCCAAGGCCATCCAGCCAGGTGCAAGTGGAGGAGTGGGGAATCAAATCCGGTTCTCCCAGATTAGAGTCTGGAACAGGATGATGCCTCAGTCCTCAAGTGGCTTTTTCATTGCCCAATAGCATCACAGTGTTCTAGGGATTAAGCTTCAGTTTATTGGCCCTCATCTATCTCATTACCTTTTCCAGATACCTGTCAGCTATGCTGCCATGGGGGTTGGGGAGCTCGGTCTGTGTCTGGTTAATTGCTACTGCATTCCTTTCTGTGCTTTTTCTGCTTTGCGCCTAAATGCTTATCTATACAGATGTGCAGGAGGGAGTTGTATCATCTAGGTTTTTCCTAGGTGCCGTGGGAGAGTGTTGGTTCTCAGCTTTAGCTACCTAACCGTCTCCGAGCTTTATCCCACCCTATATCCTATTATGCCCAAGGGGCCGCCGCCATTCTTACCAGTACTTATGTTACTGCATCTATAGCTCTGCAATAAAAGTATTACCGTTCCTGAATGTGTGTACTTCGTTGTTGGCTGTGGGTTCTGACAATACCTCTTCTGGACTTCCACAGACCCACCCAGCTCAGTTGTTAGAGAGGAAGAGAACTGGGTGTCATCTGCATATAGGTGGCACTTTGCTGCTCTGTAGAATATCCAAAAACACAGTTGACGTATGGCCTGCCCCACCCCTCAGGTTTGCAGAATAGTGTAAGACCTGCTAGCTTGGACTAGCAACTTGATTTCTGGCACGGCGCCTCTGCCTTCTGCAGCCAAGGCCCAAACTGAAGCTGAGAGTGGCAGGCCTGGTTCCTGAAACACAAATCTGCCCCGTGCACACGTAAGGCAAAAGGTGGGGTGCAATTGAAACGATCCAAGTGAGGCATTGTAGGGGGGTGGCTGAATCTCTCCTTTCCCCCAGGGCTTCTACCTCCAACTCCTCCAATTCCAGAAGCCAACCTGACTGGAAGGAAAGATCAGGGTTGACAGCTCTGGGCTGGAAAATTCCTGGAGACCTGGAGGTAGAGCCCAGGGAGAGGGGGGCTTCAACAGGGATGTGTTCCCATACAATCTACCCCCCAGCAGTGCCATTTTCTCCAGGGGAACAGATCTCTGTAGTCTGGACATCTGCTGTCATTCCAGAAGATCTCCAAGCCACACCTGGTGGCTGGCAACCAGTGTTCCCTCTAAGCTGAGTGAGTGCAAGCTAGTTCACAGTTTTTTAGCCTCCGGCTCACACATTTTTGTCTTCGCTCAGGAAGGGTGGCTCCAGAGCAAACTGATTTATGCAGGAGCCAAATCTCTGGCTCCCAACTTTAATGCCAGTAGCTCACAAAGTAGAATTTTTGCTCGCAAGACTCCACAGCTTAGAGGGAGCATTGCTGGCAACCCTCAGAAACGGGGATTAGAGAACAAGCTGTAGGGATAAGAGGCGCAAGCAGATCCTACCCCTTCTTTTTGTCTGTGCAGTGCTTTTTCATTTATTAAAATATTTATACCCCAGTCCAATGTTCCCTCTAAGCTGCGGAGTCTTGTGAGCAAAAATTCTCCTTTGTGAGCTGCTGGCATTAAAGTTGTGAGGGAGTGATTTGGCTACTGCATCAATTAGCTTGCTCTGGAGCCCTCCTCCCTGAGCTAAGACAGAAATGTGTGAGCTGGAGGCTAAAATTCTGTGAGCTAGCTCACACTAACTCAGCTTAGAGGGAACACTGTACCCCACCTTTCCTTCTGGCTTAAGGTGTCTTATAAAAAGCAATAGGAATTAAAGCCAAACAGAATTTAAAAACAAAACAGAACCAGGGCAGGAGGCACAGTGGGAAAGGCCCAGGCTCCGGGTGGTGCTAAGCAAGTGGGGAACAGCCAGTCAGTATGCAAAAAGGAGATTTTAGGACAGAGTTCTCAGGACACAGCCAATAGTAGTAAGCTTGCCAGCTATCCAACAACCTGATTACCCAGAAAAAGGCTCACTGAGGTTGAATGATGAAGTAGCAAACTAGCAGAAATCTCAGAAATATGTGTAAACAGGAAGGGTATCAGACAAAGAGTCATTTTGTGAGTTTTTTATTAATATACCCACTGTTAAAAGTAGCTTGAACAGAACACAGGAATGGAGCAAACAATACAAGGGAAGCATCAACAGAGTTATAATAGGTAAGAGGTAAAGGTTCCCTTGCTCGAAAGTCAGTCAAATCCAACTCTAGGGTTGCGGTGCTCATCTCCGTTTCAAAGCCGAAGAGCCAGTGCTGTCCGAAGACGTTTCCGTGGTCATGTGGCCGGCATGACTAAACACCAAGGTGCACGGAACGCTGTTACCTTCCCACCGAAGTGGTGCCTATTTATCTCTTGCTTTTGAACTGCTAGGTTGGCAGGAGCTGGAACTAGAGACGGGAGCTCACTCCATCATGCGGCACACTTGGGTCTCGAACTGCTGAACTACCGACCTTCCACAGCCTGCAGTTCAGCATCTTAACCACTTGAGCCACCGCAGCTGATGTTTAAGCCATCTTGTTTGGCTTGCAAGAGAAATATTCAGAAGACACATACATTTTTTTTCAAAAAGAGGATTCCTCCTAGGCAGTGGTTTGCACACTGTGGGGCAGGCCTTACTTGAAGGCGTGGGGCCACCTGGGAGAGCGCAAAGTTGCAGGGACAGACAGTGTTCTGGGGCAGACGTGTCCTTCATCAGCCAAGACTTCATGCACTGGATGGTTCTGTTTACTGTCCTTCACTGATCTGTGTGTGATTGCCAGACTGTCACTCCTTAGAAAGGTGACAAGGGTGAAAGTAAGCTGGTACCAGCTGGTACAGAGTTCAGAAAGAAAGTTTCTGAAGTGGTACCATCCATCTTCTGCTTCAGGCCCCCCAAGAGTTGAGATGCCTCCATGCAAGAGCATTTAGGAGAAGGCCAGAGAGCCTCCGGCCCTCTTCTCATGCCATGGTTGGAATTGCTACTCCCAGGTCACAGATATTTGTGTGCAACAACAGGCTAAATGTGCGTGACTAGATACAAGAATCTGTGTGCATCACTTTTTTGGAATAAATGACGAGACGAGAGTGGGTGTCCTGTTAGCCAAATTGTTCTATTTCTTAATAATAGCTTGGCGAATTATGATATTAATGAGCAATTGGTATAACTATAGGATCATGACCTGTGTATACTGGAGTTAGAATTCCCAAGAACCCAGGAATAGACACAGAGACTGGTTGGCTAAAATAATGATTTCTTTACTAAATATTCTCAAGCATACAAACAATAATCAAGTAATCAAACACTTTACTAAATCTGTACTAAATATTCTCAAGCATACAAACAATAATCAAACAATAACCAAATAATCAAACACACAATACAGACCTAAAAGAGCAGAGGTGATTGATAGCTAATAGAGTGATCAGTTATTGGGTGATACTACCTGTCCAGACATGCAGAGGTTCATGAAGAAGGGATTGTGGCCTAAACCCATAGGATTTAGGGGTGGACTGCCAGTTGGCATCGTGGCAGAAGCACATGGTCTGAAGCCATGTGCTTGATGGATATAGACATTGGAAAAACAATGCAGACCAATGGAAGGTCTTGGGGGCTGGTCTCAGATGAGAACAATAGATTACCTGGACCAATGATGAGTCCCAGAGGTGTGTGATGCCAGTAGGGGCAGACCTTAGGTATGGCCAATGAGATCAGAGTCTGGATTAACAATGGCCTTGATTAAATCAGCCAGGTTCCTGGTGACTGTACTGGGGCTAGTTGAATGGATTTTCTGACCACTAATGGTCCTGCCAAGGCAGTTGAATAGGTTCCCAGATACAGACAAAAGATAGGAGATGGGTCCCTGATTAGCATCAGGAAGGATCATCAATAATTTGAGTGTTTGGTTTATCTCAGTATCCTGAGGGATGGAGCAAGGAAGGACAAAGAATTCTCGCATAGACATGTAGCCACACAAAAGGGATAGGTGAGGTACTGGAGAGAAGAGGACTATTAGCCAGGTGGCCTCTGAATAGACATTAGAAATGTAGATATTTTACCTAGTGGAACCCATTGTCATTTCATAAGCATATCTCCACTGGGTGGAGGGGGAAGACTGGAAGTTTGCTCTGAGGTTACCTTATTGTCACCTGAATATGAAATCCCTTTTTTGCAGAGTACTTGCAGGCTGACCCTGTGGTTCAAGCGTAGAGTGCTTGACTTTGGGGGACTTTGATTCAGGTTAGAAAGTGGGGAGCCCCTGTTTTTGGGGCTACCCAAGAGTAAAGGCAGTGCCTCTGGCAACAGTCCTTCCCCCACCCCCTGAAAAAAACCTAGCATTGAGAAGATTTTTAAAAATCTGAGAAACACTGAGAGAAACTCAGGAGGCCATCTTGGCCAATCCAGCCACCACGCAGGCGCAGATTTAAGTAGATGGTGCTGTGTGGGGCAATGTTGTAATCTGATAGCTTGTGGCTATTCTCCAAAGACTTCCCATCATAGGTCAGCCAGAACTGTTCTGCCTGGATGTTCTCTTGTTGCTGAACCCGGGTTTTGAAGTGGTCCACCTTGTCTGAAGGCATGACCATGTACGTGCTGGTCCTGCCCTTGTCATTCCTCAGGAAGATGGTAATGGACTCTTCATTTTTTACCACCATCATGATGGTATCCCCAGATTTCAGCCCAAACTCAGAGAGCAGGGCCCCATCGCGCAGGTCAAGGTGAGTGTTGCTCTGCCAGGCCAGTTTCTGCTGATATGGTGGCACCCCTGATTTCTGGGCAATTTGGACTTTGAGATCCCAGATGGTTCTGCTAGCAGTGATGTTCAGGGAATGCATCGCTCCCGTCAGCAGCTTCACATTCAAGCACAAGGCCTGAGGAAAGGAAACAGCAAAAGACAGGAAAGTTGGCGTGGGAATCCGAGAGGGGGTGATGCACACAACATCGTGCTGTTGCAGTTCAGATGGACACAACCACTTCGTACCTTCTCGGCTCTGGAATCGACGTGATTCAGAGCAGATCAGTCTTTGACACTTTTTGATTGGGAAGGGGACTGCCTTCTCCGATGGGCATGGCAGCAGCAACAATTTGATATGGCCAGTTATAGGATATCTATACTAGTATCAACTGATACTGGGTTATGCCCTCAATCCTAGGAACTGTAGTTTTAGGATGCCAAAAAGCCCCTACCCAACACACATCAATTTTTAGGATTCTCTGAGTGTTAAAGCCAAAATAGTCCATGGCCTTTTCTGTTCTCACAGCTTACTGCAGAGTATCCCAGCAGTCAAGCCTTTAAAGTTGACCTCAGATTTCTGTGCCTGCCGTGCCTGCAGTCTTACACCATCCCGTGTATTTATTCTGCAGCTACAATTTAAAAAACACACTTTTCTAAATTGGTGTGGAACGTCACTTGTGATGTGAGGGTGGTGGTGGTGTCCAATTTTTTTAAAAAAATTAAGTCCGCCCTCTCGCAGCTGTGCAGCAGTGAGCAAGCGGTGAGAGAGGGCCGCACAGCCTGCAGGGAGCTGGCTTGGCTGGGTTGTGCCGAGGTGCTTTTTAAACTTTTTTAATTTTGTTAAGCTTCTGCTTTTGTATCCCCCCTCCCCTTAGTTGCTGCTGGAGGGGGGGCGTTTTGTCTGAGAGGTTATGGGGGACAAGATAAGGATGGAAGGTTAGGCACACACAAACCACTTTCACTTTTTTCAAGGGGAAGTATGGAGAGGGCTTGGGGAAGAGGGGGGGGAGCGGTTGCAGTCTGTGGCAGCCACCGCCAGCACTCGGACTCCGGCTGGTAAAGGGCCTTCTCCCGCACTCCCAGCATCTCCCTAGGGGGAAGGGGTGACTGGGGTTGGCACACACCCCCTGATAGCTACAGCTGCTGCTTGGAAGACATGGCGATACCACCACAACCACTATCACAAGTTCACAACCTTGTAAAAAAAATTTTTAATGTAAAACAACGAGGCGCCATTTTCATGTTAGGCTTCTGGTGACTGTCAAAATGGTTCTCCATGCACACCAAACTTTGTTCACTACAGCACGAAAAGGAAAAACATTTTCAAAGCTTTAGGCTTGGGGGGGGGGCATTTTGACAGTCTCTGGAAGCAGCTACAATTTTAAAAAAACCACTTTTCAGTTTTTAAATCGTTGAGGATGGCAGGATTGTGGCATACCTGACGGGCACATGGTAGAAGCTTTTGGAAATACCCCTGCATCAGTATCACCTTCTAGGGCGAAGCAGAAACAAGCTTAAGCTGTGCCCGTACTGGCTTTCAGCTTTTCATTTAAGTCTTTCTCCTCCTCTTTGCATGTTTGCCGTCCGCCTTGTAAATCTAAAGCTGGGGCCTTGTCCTGGAGACTTGCGCAGAGGTCACATAACGATCCTGTTCACCCTTATTTGAATGGGCCAGTTTCCCTCCAGTTCTAAGAGGCAAAAGGGCATGGAGAATTCAAAGCCCAGACTTGCCCTGACCTACATCCTAAACTAGGGAACCTCCCTAAAATCAGGTCCTGCTGCCCCATCCCCCAAGGGGAGAGTTTCAGGGGGGAGCTGTGTTGGTCTGCGATAGAGGAGCTAGATCTGAGTCCCATGGCACCTGAGGGACCAACAAGTTCTTGGGGGCATGAGTTCTGGAGAGTCAAAGCTTCCTTTGTCAGAAACATCCGGCAAAAGGAGTTCTGACTCAAAACCTTATACCCCAAAAATATTGTTGGACTCTAAGGAGGGGGTTCCATCACCCCGGTTTCTTATCAGTCTTTTTACAAAGCATGTCTTCCAGCTGAAGTCAGCGGAAATTCTGCTTCCTGGGGCCCAAGAAGGCAGAGAGACTGGCCTTCAAACAGACCTTCTGCAGCCGCATAAGATAAGATTTGCCCACCTGCTGTATTCACTAGGAAAAGAATTAGAAGCGAGAGCCACTATTGCCATCTTTTTATTTCTTTCATTGCTGTTCATTTTTCTAAGATGGGATTCTCTCTAATCTTCTCTCCCTTAATGCCGTGGTGTGTTGGGCCAAGCAATTGTGACTATGTGTCCTTCAGGTGGGAGCTTCATTTTGATCTGGGTCTCCTTCATCTGCTATTTCCATCTATGAAAACTGACAGCATTTGAGGGGGGCACGGAAGACTTACCAGTCTTTGTGAAGCTGGCCCTGCAGGTGTCATTGGATATGAGACTGGAAATGTTTCTTCCTCCCATGAGACCTGCAGCTGAAACAAAGACGGGGGATCTGTGATTTATAGACGAACTGACTACTTCATAATGGCCCTGGACTTTTAGGATCATACCATACCCCAAACCTGGAAAAGGGCACCTATGGTTCTAAACCAGTGGGAGAATTTGCCATTAAACATCCCTGAAACTATTACCATACTTGTCATATGCAATGCAAGCAAAGCAGTTCTGCATACGTATGTTTCATGTGGGAACTTTGGTTAAGACGCTGAACTGCAGGCTGTGGAAGGTCAGTAGTTCAGCAGTTTGAGACCCGAGTTGCCACATGATGGAGTGAGCTCCCGTCTCTAGTTCCAGCTCCTGCCAACCTAGCAGTTCGAAAGCAAGAAATTGCAAGTCGATAAATAGGTACCACTTCAGTGGGAAGGTAACAGTGTTCCGTGCACCCTGGTGTTTAGTCATGCTGGCCACATGACCACGGAAACGTCTTTGGACAGCGCTGGCTCTTCAGCTTTGAAATGGAGATGAGCACCACAACCCTAGAGTCGGACTCGACTGGCTTTCGAGCAAGGGAACCTTTACCTTTACTTTACCTTGCTTCTGGAATAAAGCGTGTTGCCTGTTTAAGCACGGTGGACTTGGGAGGATGGATGAACCTTCCATTCTTTTTTTGTTTAAAGCATTAATACCTCACACTCTCCATGAACCATTCCTGAGGTGGGCACTGCCAGGTTCTTAGTTGATATCCTGACCTTTCTCGGCTCCCAGCCTGCCCACCCCCTCAGCACCAGTGTTCCATCCAAGAAAGTTTAGCGACTAAGGACAAGAGAGTACTGGTGAGAGTGCTGAAGTGTGTTCACAGTCCCTCTCCTCAGCTTGCAGAGCCCCACTGACATACAATGGAAGGTGGGATGACCTGCAACCTCTCCATCTACTTAGTGCATTTTTATCCCACTTCCCTCCCAAGGTCTTTTCCCACACCGGCTGGAGGGGCGATATTCAGACTGGGAACAGCATACCATGCTGTGGTATTCCACACTGCAGAAGTGGGTGGGTATCCCCAAGTAGTACTCAAAGCACTTTAAAATGCATATGTGATTTTCCACATGGGTTATTGGCCTCAGGTTCAATGCTGTTGGGAGGTAGGCTTTTTCCCCATTTCTCCGCAGCAACCTGCTACATTTGTGCACCTCTAAGGATTTCCATAGTTTTTCTCCAGTTTTTCCCAAACCAGTGCTAAGAGCACTTTAAAATGCACATGTGATTTCAGACCATGTATGACCTTTTCCACATGGGTTATTGGCCTCAGGTTCAATGCTGTTGGGAGGCAGGCTTTTCCCCATTTCTCCACAGCAGCCTGCTACGTTTGTGCACCTCTAAGGATTTCCATAGCTTTTCTCCAGTTTTTCCCAAACCTGTTTTGCTGTGAAATTTGGGAAAACATAGCAGCTTGGATGGCTGCCTTATGGTGGGGAACATCCAGATTTTCCCAGTCTCACACAAAGGTGAGCCATTTTCCCTTCCCAATCCCCATGGCAGCCATTTCTCCCTCACCCCACTCCTATCAATGGCTTTTTGGGGGGTTTGTTAGTAACTGACATAGTGACATACCAGTCAATTACCAGTAAAAAATCCTTGAAAGAACCTCCAAATGGCTTGGGGGAAATAGCCATGGCAAGGACACGGACAAGGGGAAAGCAGGGAAACCTGCCACCTGGAAGCCCCCCAGCGTCTGCCTTGGCAGCCACAGCAACAACGTGACTTCCACAGGAAAGCATCATCACACAGAACAGCCCAGTGGCCACTCAAGAAAGGGCCGCCTTAGTTGTGGCAACAGAATTATGGGATTCCCTCCTCAGGGAGATGTGTCAGAACATCTATGATGTCCTGACTACTCCAGTTTTGGGGGAGTTAAAAGGTTCCATTCTATGTGACAAGCATCTTTAAAAATGCAGACTGTGGAGTTTTTGGAGGTCACACTGTCTCTGTCTGAAGGAGCTAATCTTGCCTGCTGAAATTGTTGATGCCAGTGGTGTCACAACATCCCAGGATGTTGTTTTGTGAAGCTTCAGGGGAAGTTTTCTTGAACTTTTAGCTTAAAAAAGGAGGTAGGATCAACTAGAGGGAGGGAGAGCCTGAAAGGGTGCCAAAGAGTGTGCTGTAACTTTCCATGCTGATTCCTCAAAACCTGCCACTTAATTTTTATAGATAGATGTGCTTTTATAATAAAAAACAGAAAAGGACACAGTGCTTCCAATCCTCATTTTATTCTGTAGGAGAATAATCCTGTTTAATGGATTCACCTCCTTTTCTGGTGGATTAAAGGCTGGGAAATGAGGTAACAGGACAGTGTCCTGACTAGGCCAAAAAGTCTGCTGTAACTTTTTCCATGCTGATTCCTCAAAACCTGCAACTTAATTTTTATAGATAGATGTACTTTTATAATAAAAAAACCGCAAAAGGAAACAATGAATGAATGTACTAGCACTTTATGGTATCTTTTATTCTATATTGTTGTGTTTTTATCAGATTCTGTGTTTTAGTTGTTTAACATATTTTGTGAAAGCTGCCCGGAGGCTGCCTGGTCAGGGGGGGCAGGATACAACTTACACAAATAAATAAATAAATGCTTTTGATCCTCTTTTTATTCTGTAGGAGAATAATCTCGTTTAATGGATTCTCCCCCTTTTCTGGTGGATTAAAGGCTGCAAACTGAGGTAACCAGATAGTTTGACGGTTTCCTAGATCCTGTCCTCACTAGCCTCCCCCAAAGGGACATCGGTGACAGATGCATCTCTCGCCCCCTCTCTCATTGCCTTCTGCCAGCAGGTGAAGATCTCTTTCATTTGAAGCTCCCTTCCTGACCCTCTTTCCTGTGTATGTGGTCAGTTTAATTGTTGTTTCTAATTGATTTTATAGTATGTCATTTAAAAGCTTGTCTTAATGTTTTAGATTGTTCTTCGCTTTGGGGACCCCAAGCTGGGTGGAAAGGCAGCATTAGAATGTTGTAAATACACAAATAAATCCCCCTGACCCACATCGACATCAAAGGGGGCATTCCATTCATTTCTGTCTCACCGGCACATCCCAGTGGAGGACTGAGTAGTTTGTGCAGCATTTCTGACGAGAACAATGTTCAGCTTCTTGCGCAAGTAGATCCCAGCGGCTCCCTTCCCCCAGGGGTCCGGTTGGGTCAGCTGGATCCAGGATGAGCGGTCTGAAATCCATCAACAGAAACAGCCAGTGAACTACAGTGGTTAAAGCACTCAACATGAGCCTGGGAGACCGACAACAAAGTAGAGGGCAGTGATGTATTTCTAGGAATAAGTAAACTTCTCTTCAAATGAAGGTGGGATAAGCGATTACAGAGCAAATGAATACAGAATCCACCAGGTCTTTAGCTATGTGTAGCCTTGGCAGGACTAAGGCAGTGATCGTTGATCACGGAAAAAGAGTATTACAGGTGCACAAGGGTATCCTTATATTCAGCTGCAAAGTGCATGAAAGAACATGGGGAACTGACCTGGGCTTCCGGAGCTGACTCATCAGGTATTGTTTGAGGGTGGGATTCTGCAAGTCATAGTTCACGGTCCAAAATATGCAGAGTTGCTTGTATTGCTGGAGGAGCCAAAGCACCGTCCGAAATCCTTCTGCCATGTCAAAATCCGGCTCTCTGCTTCCTTTCTCCCAGGCATAGACAGCCAGTAGCTCCAGTGCATACTTCGGTGGGAGCTGCGATCCATACCGTACACACACGTACTAGGACAGATGGGAGGGGGGAAAGCTGGAGTGTCAGAACTTGAAAGGTTTTGTTTTTTAATACGTTTATTAACTGATTCAACCATAACGCCAGTAGCTCCAGTGCATACTTCGGTGGGAGCTGCGATCCATACCGTACACACACGTACTAGGACAGATGGGAGGGGGGAAAGCTGGAGTGTCAGAACTTGAAAGGTTTTGTTTTTTAATACGTTTATTAACTGATTCAACCATAACATATCACCAACAACATAACATAATTACATTATATAGACATATACATTTGTTGTTGTTCAGTCGCACAGTCGAGTCCGACTCATTGCGACCCCATGGACCAGCTCCCGCCAGGCCTTCCGGTCTTCCACCGTCCTCTGAAGTTTGCTCAACTTCATGTTCGTTGCATCGATGACACTGTCTAACCATCTCATCCTTTGCCGTCCCCGTCTTCTTTGACCTTTTGGACTATTGAGGGAGTCATAATTGGTAGGCATCTTTTAAGAGGGGGAGTGGAGAGAGATTTGGGGGCTGTTATTTTATTTTAGGTTTTAAACTGAAAATGTCTTTAATTATTATTGTAAGCCACCTTGAACCATGAGGGAAAGACATGATACAAATATTTTAATAAATGATGATCATAGCCTGTGTCAGTTCAAAGATGCAAATACAGCATAAGTGGAAAAAAGGTGGAATCAGTTCTTCATAGTAGACCATTTAGGTATATGTCTGACAAAGGTGGTGTGGCCATTCCACGAAATCTTTGACATGCAATTGCATCTGATATTTCCTACAAGATAAAGACCCTTGACTGACTTTTTCTTCTCGTTCATTTCCATATCTGTGAAAGACTGTTATGTCTTAGCCAATTCTTAAGATACAGATAGCTTCTTTTTAGAAAGAGTTAAGAATAAGAGCGTTCCGGATAAACATGTTATAATGTCAACACTCTTGTGTAGCTTGTGTGCTTTCTATTTTTCTTTCAAGACTTATTTGTTTGCAGGGTGGAATTCATAATGTAAACCAAAAGTACTCGGCTTTTTTAATATAATAATTGTTATTATTTTTAACAGACAACCAAACAAAACATACCTGAGAGTATTAACAACATCATATCTCTTAAAACACCTCATACATTAGTATCTAATTACCAAATTCCCACCTCCCCAAATTTTTGCAAGTCTATATTTAATAAGCCAATATTTTATCTAACTCGTTCTATCAGTATGGCTTTTAAAAATGCACAAATCTAGAGTTTTACAAGTCTATTAATTAACAAAACACATTTCCTTCTATTACTGCATTGTCTGAACATTCTGTAATAGTCTTATAAAATATATATTTAACTATTAACTCAATTTATACCATTCCCCAGCTTCATAGTCACATACTTTCTTTTTCTATACTAAATTCTATAAGATATCACATTACATTCTTTCACATTTTAGTAATACTCTGTCTTTTAAAGGGGTTTTCTAAATCTACATATATTCCCTATATATTCTTCCCCAGTTCTACAGCCTCATGGGATCCTTAAACCAATCTTATTTGTATCTTTAATTAACACTTTTCAATATACTTCTCTTGCCTACAGATTCATACTTGTTCTATAATACCATCTTTTCTATAACTTCTTGAATCTATATATCTAATAGCCAAGTTGCCCCCTCCGTGCTGGGAGCCGCTCAGGCTTCGCCGCCAGTGCCCGGGGGGAGCGGGAGAAGGGGGTGGGGGAGAAGGATTGGCATGCCTTGCTGTTGGTACCAGGCAGGGGAAGGGGGCAGGGCCTTTTCCAGGCCTATTTTGGCCTATTTTGGCCTTTGAGGGAGGGATCCTTGGGGCCAGGCCTGACAAGGGTTGCTATCTCCATGTTGGGAAATTCTAGAGATTTTGTGGTAGATTCTGAGGAGGACAAGGTTTGAGGAAGGCAGAGGTCTTAGTCGGATATAATGCCACGAAGTCCACCATCCAAAGCAGCCATTTTCTCCAGGGGGACAGATCTCTGTTGTCTAGAGTTCAATTGTAATTCTGGGGGATCTCTAGGTTCCACCTGGAGGTTGGCAATCCTAGGCCTGGCAGCACCCTCTGAGTGACTTGATACCACTTGATTTGCTTGACTCAGCTAGGCCTGGCTGCTTTCTACTGTTCAGCAGCAGCCACCTTATGAAAGCCAGCATGGTGCAGTGGTTAGAGCTTCAGAGTAGGGTATGCAAGACCCAAGTTCAGATCCCCATTTTGATGTGGAAGCTGACTGGGTGATTTTGGACCTGTCACATACTTTCAGCCCAACATAGGTCCAATCTGCATTGGTCTTTCTGGCTGCTGTGCTGCCAATCCCACATCGTTTTACAAATTTCTGTCTGCATCTCATCTCGCATCTATATTCCTATTGTTGAGACTCAGCATGGCTGTCTGCATCATTTATTGCCCTCTAGTGGTGACTCTGAGGTCATTACAGCATCTCACCACATTATCTGGATTTGGTTTTAAGCTGGTTCAGTTGCTCCTCCCCACCCTCAAGCTGCTGTGAGCAATAAGCAGACAACTAGAGCCAAATCCCCCCCCCCAGTCGTCTGTGAACTCTGAGGTCATTACAGCATCTCACCACATTATCTGGATTTGGTTTTAAGCTGGTTCAGTTGCTCCTCCCCACCCTCAAGCTGCTGTGAGCAATAAGCAGACAACT